ACTCCACAAGAAGTCATTATTTATAACATATTATTTTATAAGTAAAAAGTTAAGATTATATAATTATCAAAAAAATATTGTGAATATTATAACAAATGGGAAAACAACTATTGAGTTGTTTTTCCAACATGCCTCTTTAGAATACAGAATGTCCCTTTACGGCCAACAATTATAAATTCCACAAATTTATTAAAAGTTCTTAACTGGATAGTTGTAAATAAAATAGAGAATAAAAAATAAAATTAAAAAAAACTATAATTTACTCCACAAGATATTATTACATCTATGAGAATAACGTTTTCTTTATTATTAGTACACTGCCAGACAAAATTGATAGCAAATAGGAACCTATTTCTCGAATAAAATATTTGTTTCTGACTCTTATCGTAAATTTTTCTGAAGTTTATAGTCATGAACAGCCAAAAAGTTCGGTGTTTTTGCTGTTCGATCGAGCGATTTACACTAAATCAATTTCCAAAACCCAACCTCCAAATATTTTACAAGATGTTTTTGCCAGATGTTTTATGAGACATCTAGATTTATCAAAAAAGGGAAATTTAACGTGTGCGTCTAATTTGATCATTCAAGAGTGTGTATATATTACGGATTATCCATTTTTAAATTCCAATAACTAGAACTGGTATAACTGCAACCCGATGCCGTGATGTACGGCCGGCGAATTCCTTTCGCATTTTGCTAATTGGAGTCGTTGCGAGCGAATTATAGAAATTTAAAAGCTTCACGCTGCGACCCCGCGGTTCGCATCCCGCTTCGGTCAAATGATATGTTTACGATAATAAATACTTCGTTTAATACAAATATTGACAATTAAATTGCATACTTGGTTTCTTTCGGACTTCTTCGCACATTTTTATTGATTTTAAATATGTACAAATTTTGAATAATAAACTAATGAATTACATCGTAACGTCGTTTCGTCCTAATCTAGCATTAGATCAAAGTTAAAATCAAAGTACTTTGATTATAAATCATAAAACATGAATTAAAATAAAAACATATCGCTAATAAAGTTACTATTAGAATAACAAGTTGACAATAATAAATATTTCGATTAATGCAAATATCGACAATTAAATTGCTGGTCTTCCTCATATTTGGTTTATCTTGGACTTCTTCGCACATTTTGCTTAGGAAACATAAGTAAATAAGCTAGAGCTTATTTTAACAAGGCTAAGTAGTAACAAGCGCTTTTCAATAGTATCTTGAACGATGTTAACAATTTCTTTTCCTCGACTTGACATGTTAAGCTTTTCTCCCCCCGCATTATGTTATCATAGCCGCTGTCCCAGAGGTCGACGCAGTAAACAGAAGTGTGCAGTCGCTTCATTTTTGCCAGGCGAAATAAAATTGTACTATCATAAAATTCTTGCTTGCGTAATTATTATCGACTAGTTGTGAATTTCATATATCTTATTTTCTCTCAAATTTATCAATATTTGATAATATCTAACATGTTTGTGATTGCTAAATTGATGAAATAGTTAACAAATTCTTGAGGGTATTTATAACATACAAGAATTATATACAAATTTAAGTAAAGTAGTTTGGGTGGAATTTATAAATTGTAAGATATGAGCCAATATAAATTGTGTTTAGGGAACAATGTATATTTTGTTTGGTAATAGTTGTAGTTTACGTTGATTTATAATGAAGATTTATATTACAGGAGACATTGTATATTTTATTTGTCTTAATTATAGTTTATGTTGATTTTTGAAAAAAATTACTATTTAAAAACAAGTCAGTTTTATTAAAAATAAGCATGAAATAAATTATGAGACATATTAATGTCATTTTTTTGTGGTTACTACTTGCTCCAATAAACTCCAAACACAGAGTTAGTTGCAACACCGCACTTCTTTTGAAAAATAATTAATTGTGAAATAATGAACAAAAGTTATGGAATTAATTTTGCTTAATTCGGCACAGAAATAGTTATTGCATCCATCCATCTTCTTTCATGAAAATATAATCAGTAGATTTTACAATATATTATTCTCAATAAAAACTCTCTCAATGTCTAATAGTAGCAGTCTGCTAAGAGAGCGGAATTAAAGTTATTCTAATAATGAATTCATTATAAAAAGCTACGCCAACCGTTGGGTTGCAGTCAATAGAAGGTTATTACACAAAGTTAATATTAAATTTGCATTGCACTCAAGATTATATAAAAAAATATTAATAATAGTTGCTAATAATTGATCATCTAAAAACGATTGGCCTACCCATTGTGGGATTTTTAAATATAATAATTTTACCTTTCTGTAACTTGCAAATGTCCATGAAAAATAATAAACAATTTCAAGGGTCAGAAAAAATGGTTTTAAACGATTGCAATATTGGTATATTTATTAGGAATTACTTATATAGTAAATATATAAACAATTTTGAAGACCCTTGCTCATATAACTAATTATTACCAAACAAATTAAATTTAAATATGTGGTACAACGTGTTTCTGGACGATTTTTGCACTATCCCATTTGATGGTAAATTTTGCATGAAAAATTTATGAAGTGTAGTCTACTCTACTTTAGTATAGTAATATAAATAAGTAATAGCAAATATAAATACTATTGTTGAAAAATATTAAGAATATTAATTGCAATACTGCAACTTAATTTAAAAAAAATGTTATTAAAAGTCTGCTGGAATTCACTAAACTATACAATTTAGACTAATTGTAGTCTAAAACTAGTTGTAGTTTGTTATAAATTAAAATATGTAAAAATTTAAAATCTCATGCCTTGATTTATTATCCCAAATAAATACGAACATTTCAGTTTCCAAGTTTCACTGAGGGTTGCCCAAAAACGCATCGTCTTGATCACTCTCCTTAGATTCATCAAAGAAAGTCATCGTATTCATAAATGTATGGACACAATCGTAGTCCACCAAAACTGGGTAAGAGTCATCTGGCATATTCATCGAAGTTAATAAAACATTATAAGTACTCGATGGAGTTTCTCTTACAGGTGTCTCTGGACTATTTCAGTCTCTGGAGGTTCAACTTCCACTTCTTCAATTTTGGTTTGTGGTGGATCTTTTGTGGCTCAGTTTTTGGTTTGGGTTCTTCCTTCTTGCTCGAGGTCGTCGGCTTGTTGGGTTTGTTAGGGCGATCCATATTCCAAACTCGCTGTTTTAAATATTTACTTTTACATTATAGAAAAATCAATCCTCGTTACATTTAGCAGTTTGACAGGTTTCAATCATTCAACTCCCAAAATCCACATGAAACTTGTGATAAACAATTTGTGCTTATTTATTTGTATTATCAAACCAGAAGAGATGTGGGGTATTCCAAATGTGAATGATTTTTATGACTTTTATAATCAAATATTTTTTACGATTTTGTAAATTTCATATATAATTTCTCTTGTTTTGTTTACGCTAATGGTATCTATAGTGACGCTTGGCTATAATGACAGTTCATAAATTTATATGTATTTTAAAATACTTCTGTAATGAGATTAAGAAATAAGATTAAGATTCAGTAAATTGATTATATGACAAAACTAAAAGTAATTAACTTATGATGCACTAAATAATTTATTAAATATACGTTTTAAAATATTGTATTTGACTTTAACTTTCTTGCAGAGAATTCTGGGCAGCTATTTGCTCAAAATAGTAATTAACAAGTAATTTATATAAATTTATTAATATTAATTAACACAAAGTTTTGAACATAGTCATTTTAACTTTCCATATGTTTTTTTGTGTTATATAGCGAAGGAAATGCCTTTATGCATTCCAGAC